AAGTCCCGTAGGTTGTATCTCAACGTTGAAATTCTATTTAAAAATTTGAAGATAGAAACTAGAAAAAAGCAGTAATGTAGTTTAGTTGAAACGTAAACACAGTATGCACACATACGCAGTAAGTTATAGGGGCGAAAACTAAAACGTAGGAGAACGAATACATGAAAGGGTTTTCACGATATAACTACGCAGTAATGCGCAGTCGTATGTGTAGCCGGTGTGCATGTATGTTTATATAACGAGCGCAATCAACAGTTAACACATGTTTGCAGTTAACTCATATAGCAAGTTGAACGTATGTGTACTAGATATTAAGTTACATTCGCACTTCGCACTTTTAAACATCATAATAACGAGACCCTAATGAAGAACACGAATGTTTTGGCTACTTTTAAAGCTATATTATTTGCATAAGAAACGCGAAAGTATCAGTTGTCCTCTAAGTAAGAAGCAAAAGTATTATGGTGGAAAAAAACTACGGTTTTAATTGTACTAAATTTTTAGTCACTCCTTTTCGCTATCTTAGAACGTAATTTGTACTTGTTGTGATCAATACTTTCTTTCGTAAAGGACGCTTGTGTCAAATTACAACTCTTTAGTTATTCAGTTACAAATCTTTCGTTTCTCGACATAATGCAACTGCGAAGAAAAGGCGTATTTCGGTGAAAAACTGACAACAAATCTTGTAGAAATAGAAGGTTCACCTCGCGAGTCTATTTTTCATATAACGTAAACAAAACAAGGACAAAATTAACGCAACAGTTTGAGTGTTAATTTGTTTTCCATTTGATTTCTTTATCATTATAAACCGTTACAGCTATGCATACAGTACTTTTTCGTTCATAAGTACACTTCGATTTTTAGCACTAATATATAAAAACAATAACAACAGACATAAAACAGAATTTCCTAGGAAGGCTACAATAATGCAACAAAATGCAACCTTAACGTAACTGCATATATTCCGAGGTCATGTCTTTTGTTTTTTCCGGCTCGCTGCATTACAAGG